GTCATGCCTACGCAAAACCTTCCCGAGGCAGCGAGGGGAAGAAGGGGAAGTGCTTACCACTGAACTCTCCAACCATAGATGCAAGTCAGCTCAACAGCAGTGGAAATTGGTTGATGCGCAGGATCTGCAACCATAATTTCCCAGCGTGGATCGTGTATGGGGAAACGGAGCAAACATGGGGTGTTACATGTTTTTCGCGACAGCGCAACCTACTTTACCCGGAACTCTTACCCTTCCCAGTTGATGCGTGCATCATGTTTGTGAGCACCACCAGGAGTACACATTGTACAAAAAAGTACGGTAGTCTGTACCTGCTGGATTCGCGTAATTCCCCGAGCTAGCTCCCTTCGCTTTCGCAGCAGCGGTGCGGCGCTCGCTCCTTATGTTGGCTGCGAGCCAATTCCACGTGCTTGCTGGACGCCTCAAACAGGCACGTCGATCCTGAGTCCTGAATCCTGAATCCTGAACAGACCCTCGTTCTTTTCGCCCGACAGAGCGAGACAGACCGGTTGGTCCACGGCGGTGGTCGGGCGGAGAGGACTGTCATTGTGCTGCCTTTTCAACCCGGGGCCAGATGTGCGTTTTCCCCGCATGTAAGGCTTCGAAAAATACTAGAAACCTTTCCGCGCGCGCGAGGGAGCGAGGAAGGCCAGAGGGGTCGCAGGGGACACCGATAGAGACAGAAAGAGAGATGTGTATGAGGACAGACGCGCCTTGACCACCACCGGCTTGCCCCACGAGCTTGAGCGGAGGCCAACGAAGAGGACCTTGCGATCGGGCGAGGTTCCAGCCGGAATCTGAGAAGGGCGGCCGACGTAGTAGGTTGCTCGGGGGCTCTTTTTCTCCTTCAGCAGGTAAATTCATACGGAGTATGTTTGCATTTTGGTAGGGATTTTTTCTCCACACACCCACCATTATTTCGGAGACGGCGGGGAGCGGTGTTGGGGTTGCCGACTATGCTGCAGGTTGGTACTTCGCATCGTGCTTCGAGCCCGAGCGTGTCTCTCATCTGTGAAGATAGCGTAGTCGTTGTCGTTTGCTCCACCTGCCAGTTGCATGTACAAGAGGCGAGTTGCGATGGGCAACCCTACCTCTGGCACTGGGTGAGATACATACATCCGTCTTTTTTCACGGGGAGAGAGTTGACTGGTCAGTGCCTCGTTTGTTTGCCCGTCCGTCTGCTTTGTGTAGTTATGAGCATGCCGCCCAACGCTCGCGAGGCTCATCAACACGCTCGCCCGGTTTCCTCCTCTAGCTGAGGCTCTGTCATCGCGATAACGCATGCATGAGGAGCTCGTCACGGAGACACATAGTCTAAAGACTTCATACAGCATCGCCCCAGCGGTGTGCATATATGCACTCCCGTCGAAAGATACTTGGGGGGGTGTGAGCAGCGTGTTTGCGTGCGGCATTCCATGCCTGCTTGAGTACATATTGTAGTGTGTGCCTGCTGGATTCCTCCGCCCAACATGAGGTGCCACATTTAAGCCTTCGCTGTGCGTCCTGACGGCTATCAAGTCGTCGAGTCTGGCCTCTTTCCGGGGGAGGCAGGTGGCGTGATAAGTCATTCGATAATACGTACGTACTTTTTTTTTTTTTCTCTCATCGTTGGACTCTGTCGTCTGCCCCTCTGGCCCCTACCCTCCACTTCTACTAGCTAGTCGACCCAACCGGGATCACATAGGAGGGGGAGGTTGGACCCCCTCCTGCGGTTCCTGCCTGAGATATTTTTATCGCGAGAAGGGTACAGCAATCCCTCCCCTTGCGACTTGTGAAGTCGATCAAGTTTACTAACAACGCGCTTTGCAGCGCGTCGCTTTCAACGGAGACCAGGGTTTAATTTCTGAGAAAAATCTCACTCTGTCCAGAGTCGACCCATGACCTGGCCCTTAGCAGGCTGCGAGGTTACCCGCCAGGCCACCCGGGCAACCGGTAGGGGTTGGGTTGTGTGTGGCGAACCCGCGGGGGCGACTTTTTGTTTTGTTTTGTTTTTCGTATAAAAGGGAGCAGCCTCGTAAGGTCATCCCTGCATCGCCCACTCTGCAATGCTGCCCAGGTTTTATTTGTTGAGTCTCGTTGGCGCCAAAGGTCAGCTCCCCCACGTGTGTCGTCTGTTTTTCCTCGTCCTGGTAGCATTTTACCCCAATTCAGCGTCACGGCTGACAGCGGCCTGGCGTAGCGAACGGGAGAAGGGCAGGGCCATCTACATCGACATCTACACGGAGCGGTGCTCGGGTGGTGAATGGCTACCCCCAACAATCGGGCACCGAGCGAGGAAGGTATATATCTTTGGCAGACCCGCTGTTTTTTGCCTGCACACGGAAAGAAATCACCACAACACACAACCCCCGAACGGTCGGCCATGTCGGACCAGCGTAATCATCAAGTTGCTGTTGGCACCAGGCTGTTTCTGGTCAACGAGCGTCCTACCGTACGCCGACCCTGGCCAATACTGGCGAGCCGTCGTTCTGTATCTTTGTGTCTTGGGTCGGCTTGACGCCTCACTGTCCGTGAACAGGCAGGCCGTGTGCAGGAAGGATCGGCCAGGTTCATATCTACTTTTCGTTGATCCTCCGGTGATTCTCACGACATTTCTTGTTCGAACGAAATACGTAAAGATACTACATATTTTTCTGCCGGGGTGAAAAATCCCCGCCCCCCCCCCCGAATCCGCATCCAGACTACCGTATGCGGTGGCGAGATAAAACATTCCCGCGATAACTGTTTGACCTATACTTTTTGAGTACTGCTATGCATATGCATATGCATGTAGTTGTTTGGGGAGGCTGGTTTCTTCCGTCGCCCTATCTAAGAGTAGTTTTCGTGTGTCGGGCTCATTCGAACCGTGTAAATATGACCTCCAGGTGTGGGTGTTTTGTGGGGGTGTACCCATTCGTGTTTGTGTGAGATCTTGTGCTGTGTACGGTGGTACGTATCACCTGCGATTTCCGTCAACCTCAGCCGCTGCCAAATACACACACACACACACACACTGCCCCCTCACGGGGTCCCAGTTCATGGCAGATAGAAGTGTGTTGTGTTTTCAACCGCACGAAGACTGACGTCTTTTCATTGGTCAGCCAGTTAGCTCGGTCGAGGCTTATAATATAAGTAATAAAAAAACACACACAAACCGCCCCTGCTTTCATCAACAGGGGAAGTCCCAGATGCGTCGCCGGCGAGGGGAAGGGGCAGCGGAGATGCTATGCCGAACCATGGACCGGCCGGGGGCTCGGGAGCGAGCGCCCTCTCACCGTGTGCGGCGGTCGGGGCCGGGGCCGCCACTCCCAACGGCACGGACAACAGCGGCGGCGGCGCCGGAGGCGCCGGCGGTCGGGACGTGCGCCGCTCCTTTCAGCAGCGCGACGGAAGTAGCGGCGGCGATCTGAGGGATCCGGACGAGGGCGGAGGGCAGCACCTGGAACTGCGGCAGCCGCGGGAGCGAGGACGCTCGCGCGATCGCGACCCGGATTTTTCAAGCCACGGCGGCGGCGGCGGCGGCGCTCATTCCGGCTTTGGCGGCGGCACCTTCGGCAGCCGATTCCACCCGAGGGCCGGCAGCGGAGCTTACCGATCCGGCGATGGAGCTGTCGGCGGCCGTATGGTCGGCCGCAGGGGGGGCGGCATGATGGGCGGGCGGGGTGGCTGGATCCCCGGCGGGGGTCGCGGCGGCGGCTCGCGGGGCGGGCGGGCGGGATCGCGGTGGCCATCGGGTCGAGGAGGAGGAGCGCCCATGGGTAGTAGCTACGCCGACTTAGCGGTACGTCCCGGTGTCAGTAGCGCTGCCGGCGGCGGTGGTAGCGGAGGAGGAAGCGCTGCGGGTGCCGCGGTGGGGGGCGGGGCGCGTGGAGGCGGGTACGCTGACTACGCGACAAGAGCGATCGGCGGCGGGGGCGGCAGTGATGACCGCCACAGAAGATATTCTCCTTCCGGTCCCCCCCCGGCTCAGGATGAACAAGCGCGCCGCCGCGGGAGCGGGGGCGGCGGTGACAACGGAGACGACGACAGAGAGAGGCGGCAGCGAAGCCATAGCGGCGGCAGCGTGAACAGCGGCAGGAGGTCTTTTGCTTCGGCGTTGAGCAGCCTCGCCGGAGGTGGCGGGGGGCGGAGCTCGGCTAGCCCCGGCGCCGGCGAGAGGGGGATATCTCTGCTCGCTCTAGATAGCGGGGGCCCTACCTCGCGCGGCGGGCACGACGGGAGGGGTGGCAGCGGCGGCGGCGGCGGCGGCGGCGGGAAGGGCTCGTTCGGGCGGCGCGAGGACAGCGGCCGGAGCTTTGGCGGGGACGCGGAGGGAGGCGCAAGGGTTTCGTCGGGGTGGGGGGAGCGGCGAAGCGATCGAGACAGGTGAGATGTGTAGCTTGAGCGTGCGTCCTGTTGTGTAAAATTTGTGTTGTGTGCGTTTCCTTATCACGGCGTGTTCGTGCGAAGGCGGCACCTCTTGTGTGTTGTGTAGATTGGGTTGTGTGCGCTTCCTCAGCCCGGCGTGTGCATGCGAAGGCGCCCCCCCCCTCCCCCCATGATGTCTAGTTCTCCCCGCATTGCCCCCGTGCCTTCGGGTGAACCATGTCTGCTAACCTGCTTGGTTGTTTCGTAGTGAAAATATTGCTGAGGGTTTGTGGTGTTTCTTCTTTGTCTCTCGTGGTGCCCCCGCCTATGCAGGGCACCAGCGAGAGAGCAACGAGATCGAGGGCGGAATCGGGAGAGAGAGCGCGACCGGGATCGGGACCGACCCCGCCCTGGCGGTGGTCTAGACGGCAGCGATAGACGGTGCGTTTAGAAGTAGTAGCAGGAGTTGAGAGTTCAACATGTTTTTTTGTGTCATGTTTTGCTGCTGTGTCGGCTGGTGGGACGATTCTTCGACCCTGTGACGACGTGCGGTTTGAGCCGAGGGATATTCGAAGCAGCGTGAATCCGTTTGACCTTGTTGGGTGTTCTTTTTTTTGCCCGCTCATGCAGGACTAGCAGGATGCTCCGCTCACTTGAAAAGCAGTAGTAGAGCACAGTGCGAAGGCGCACTGCTGTTCCCCCCACAGGCTAAATTTTCGGACGCCGCCACCGTGTGTTTCACATCCCTTTGCTCTCGCTTCGTAGGAATTCCCTGACTGATCGGCCGCGCGACTACCGAAGGGTGGGGGGGGCTCCCGCATCCCCTCCAAGTGGAGCCGGGCCGTTCAGTCGCCGTGAATCGGGCACAAGCGGGGGGGGCGGCGGGGGTGGGGGGAAAGACTACGGCCGCGAGGCCTGGGACAGCGGCCGAGGAAGCACCAACGGCGGCAGCAGCGGTAGCAGGGGCGGCGGAGGACTGCTTTGGGGCGAAGAGCGTGACCGCGATCGCGGGCGCGGCTCCGCGTCCCCGTTCTCCCGCGGCGGCGCCGGGGGCGAGGCTCCTCCGTCTCTCGGGAGCAGGAATGGGATGCTTGCGGCCGGCAGCGGCGGTGGTTCCGATCCGACGGGCGCGTCGCCGTTCCACCATCACGGAAGAGGCGCTGACTACCGGGACGGGTCTGGGAACCCGGCGTCGTCGTCGGCTGCTGCCTCGGCTCGGTTCCCGGACGGTGGTGGCCCTTCTCAAGACAGCAAGTCCCCTCCGCCGGGGACGGCGGGGGCACGCAACACCGGGAGGTCCTCTCCCGCTGTCCCGCCACCTTCGGGCTCGACGTTCCCTCACCACCACCACCAGCAGTCCCGGGGTGCCACGGCAGCAAGCTGCGATTTTGGCGGCGGAAGCACGTATCAAAGGCGCGGCAGCAGCGGCTTCGGAAGAGGTAGTCCCGACAGCGGAGCGGCAAGACCAACGGACGAGCTTGAAGTGGGGACGGGAGCAGGCGGCCGCTCGTGGCGCGTCGCGGAGTCTTCGACGCCACCGCCGCCGCCGCTGCGCGTTTCGAACCCGGAGGCGTCTAGGGGGGGGGGCGGGAATGACGCCGGAGCTGGGTGGGGGAGGGACCGTTCCACGACGGCGACGGACGCTGCGGTGAATGAGCCCGGACAGCTAGCCATTGCAGGGGGTGGGCAGCCGAGGCCAGTGCCGAGGCGGCTGTCAGGCCTTGCGGCGATCATCGCTGCCCGCTCGGAGGACTCGCCCGAGAAGCCGGTGTGTACAAACACCATGCAAACACGTTTCAGGCTGTTTCGGTGAACAAGCCGGCAGTGCAATGGTAGAGCTTCGTTGGTCGATTTGACCTGCCTCGAGACGCCTGTACGCGCATGTGTGTGTGACTAATTTCAGGTTTAACCTTGCTGAAGATTTTGCACAACAAGCCCCC